GTGTATCCTCATACTCGTATCACTATAGAGTTGGGGTTAGAATTGGTGCTGGGGATACTGCATGTGTATGGGAATACACCGGGGATATGTAGATTCCATGCACACCCATCCCGTAGGCTTATGAACTTATAACGATAGTTATATTTGCAATTTATTTTTGAATGTAAAAATCTGTAAAAAGTATTGGTTGGTAAATAGTTTTAGAAAAAGGAATTACGTTTTGATGCAGTCACTACACAAAGAGTGAGTGAGAAACTATGCAGCACATTTATTGGAATTTCATTGATTGGATCAAACTTATCGAGCAATATATTTTTGTTTTCGAACTGAGAAAATCCCTTGAAACATAAACCTCGTCCCCACGACTTTGCCAGGTATGCTAATCGCTTTTAAAGATGAGACAAAATATTACAATAAACATTTAAATATGAATCTTAATACAAATATAAATTGTAAACATACATGTACATGTAAACTTGATGTTTTGTCTCTTTTGTAAAAGCGTGTGCCGTGTGGGGACGATTTTGTTTGAATATAGATAACAGATGTTATAATGTAGATATCGATTATAGATCATATATTCTCTGAATCATTGACTTGATAACATAGTCATAGGTCCCTTGCACGCCAGCCATTTAAGTAGTTACGATTTGCCAAAATATTGGGTAGGATGTACAATCCGGAAGTACATTCCAGATTAACCAACAAGAAATAACTGCAAGTTATGACATTCGACAATACTGTATACTTCGTTCTGGTTTGTGTGCAAGGGATCTATAGATATAATAACACTGTATTTCGCTTATGGTTTAGCTTATGACTAATGTAAATAATGTATTTTGTGTGTGTGTTGTGTGTTGTTGTTTTTTTTGCATAAATCAGACGATGTAAATAGCAAGGGAGACTAATTTATAGAATAAACAAATTTATAGAATACGAGCATTGGTTGTGCAATATATATCCGTTCATATATGAAACATGAAATTCTAATCAGCACGACACGTGTCCCGCGCACATGCATCTCACCAAACCTAGCAAGCAGGCATGCAGTAAAGTCGACCCTGTTGTGCTCATCCTCGTAATTCTATCACTTCTATGTTGCAACTTCTAACTGTCCTCGATCCGAGCTAAATTTATGTTCCTTCACACAATCGCCTGTGATCTGGCATTCCGCTTTGTACATAACAAGCTTTCGAATATATGAAACAAGTATGGAATAAGGTAAGAATTAAAAGTACTATCATTCTTTCAAAAATTCATTAATAATTCATGAAGCAAGAGTAAGAGCAAGAGATTAGTGACGTGCATACGTCTTTATACCAGCTGAAGAACACTTTAACAAAAGAACATTGTTATGCAAACTATATAAAGATTTTTATATAAAGATTTGACTTATTATGCAAACGTTTTTGAAGCCACTTAAAAAACTCGCAGGTCGTGTTTTATTAATAGGTCTAAAGCCACTAGCGCTGCGCGCTCGTGGCTTTAAACCTAATAAAACACTCCTGCTCGTTTTTTAAATAGTACATCAATGTCTGCAAGCATGCCACATCTAGTGCATGCATGAGATGCAGTAGAATAGTAGATGCGATGGGAGGAAGTGCACGTGAAATGGTGCTTAACATGATATTGAGATTTTGGTGCCGAAATGGTGGTGGACGAATCTATAAAATCACAGGTTTTGCATTTGGCAACAATAATTTAAAGAAACTTTAATCAAGCTCGCTAGGAAATTTACAATGCTATGTGAGAACGAAACATAAGACATTACAACAAACAAGCGCGAGTTAGATAAGAGAACGGCGAACGGACTCGAAATCCCAACAAAGCAAACCCCAACATAAATTACAACCAGAAATTTACACTACGAAAACATAAAATTTCAATAAAAGTTCTCTAATACCACTGAACAGACAGCCCAGTCTCTTGCTCAGGTTGACTGCACCCTGGCAAGGAAACGTGCCATTCTGTGACGACGAATCATGTGACTGGGAGCTATGAACTAGGGTTTCACGGATTTTTTGCTGTGTCGAAAAGAGACTAAGGCGTTATTATTGGAGAAAATGGAAGATGTTTGGGGACGTTTTTCAAAATATGGAAATTCATCCTGATAAGTTACTACCAGGGGGATTTTGTTGTTGCCTGTGACATTGGACACAGTGTTCTATTATTTTTTGTTTAAAATTGCTAAAATTTAACAATAAACAGCGTGTTTTCTTACTATTAACCTAAGATGTGGTCCGTGTATAATCCCCCCGTATATAAGCCCCCCCCCCATGTATAAGCCCATCAAAAAAGGCTTTATATGAAATTATATAAGCCCAGGGCTTATATTCGGAAGTTTACGGTATACCCTTTCGATAATTACGCCAATCACCTTGCGTAACTGATTTACCAATGAGAGCGAGGTTCCAAGACCAAAAAGTATGTGTGACGTAATTATAGAAAGGGTGTATTTGGTAATAGTTGGCAAGCATGGCCGTCTCTTCTAAGGCAAATTCTCCGCCTTAGAAGAGCCGGCCACGCTTGCTATAATACAGTTTGGCGATATTGGCATCTATTACAGGAAAACAGGGCAGGAAGTATTATCCTACTCTTTGACGAATGCTAAGCGGCAACAAGTATCTGTTTTGTAAAGATCGAGAGACTGCTGGTAATGGGCAATACCAACTGTTTTAGTTCGTCGAGTTCGATAAAATACTGGCCGGATATTTCCCTTTTTTGGATATCGATATTTGTGCGATATATCAAACACAAACAACAACAATGGTATTGACTATAATTTCATTCACTGTCTTCCGACGCTAATAACCGTTACAACTAGCCAAAGTCAGATGAGATTGACAACTCTGTATGTACAAATATACCAAATATAAACTATCGTTCTTTAGTTCTTTTATCGACTATGGTGGGAAAAGGCGGGAAATTGATTTGGTAAACAAGTTCTCTCACTTCCCATTTGGGAGACATTCCTTAGGGCTTAGGTTATCCATAAACAATTCCTCAGATTCAGTTAAATTTCCTTAAACATTTCGCATTGTTGGTGAACGAATTGTCTAAATCTAAGGAAAGTTCCTTAAAAGTGGGAACGTTGTTGGTAAATTTTCATCCATGAACATCACCTGACGTCATTTCTAGCTCGAATCCTGAATCGAGTCCTGGCTCGAATCTGGCTTGATAAATAGGTACCCTCGACTGGCTTTGGGTTCCAACGTTTTCGTCAGAAGTACTTCACTTGATTAGCCTGCGCGCGATCTCAGCAGGTGATCCCTGCAGCGCCTGGTGACGGACCAGGCAAGTGAGCATCAGCAGTCCGGATTCATGGGTTCCCAGGCTATTAAACAGCGAGACATTAACTTATAACTCACTGGATCTTCAAGTCTCTCTCCTCCGAAAGCTCGTCTTTGGTTAGCGAGTGGTAGTTTCATAGGCTGCTAATAAAAACAACCGTGTTTCTCTCCTCCGCAGAGGCACAGAATAGGGGCAGAGGAGTTCTAGTTGAAAGAAAGGCTCAAAGGCGCTAGAGGGTAATGATAGAATAAGAATCCTTGCGCCTTTGCAGTCTGCGGAGGCCTAGCTCAGGCCTAGAAATATATTTCTCTCCCTGGCAGCAAAGTCCAAAAACTTCCCGAGGTGTATTAGTCAAACACCATTGGTCACATTGTGATAAACTTCAATCTCGGCACAAGACAATCTCGAATTGCAAAACGCTTTTGTAAACAATAAGTAAATTATATGGCATTTCAGTACGAGATGACAAAAAATTCCTGCAAGATGCGAGACAATTTCCTGCGAAGATATTTTGCTAAAAATATCCAACTGGCAGACATTTTCCAGCACTGGCCTCTACCTATACATAACCAGTTGGGCTGTGTTCTAATACACTCTTAGGGGTAAATGGGAGAAATTTGACCATTTGCATTTTGCCCGACTTATCCAAAACATATTACCGTATAAACTTTCCAAAATTCTTGTCCACGGCGGATGGTTACAATTTTTCGAAACCTTATCTATTTTTTGCATTTTCGACTATTATCGGAGGTTGGGCAAATTACCAACTTAAGCCGGTTTCCACTAGGCGGAATTTTTCTTTGTTATTTCGAATTAGTTCCACACGAGAGATCACAAGACAAAGAAAAATTCCGCTCAGTGCGAATCTCAGTGCGCAAAATTCCGCCTAGTGGAAAACAGCCTTACGTTTGTAATTTGCACAACTTCATTTTCACTGAAGGTGGGGGCAGGTTTCGTGTAATTTTCCGCCACCCGCGAATCAACATCGTTCCCCAGAACGAGGTTGCCATGAATAACCTTTAACGGGTTCCAAAACAGCAGTCACATCACTATCCAAGGACATTCGACTAAATTCCTTACCGTGCTAAAAGCGGCTTTCTGATTGGTTCCGAGTGGACATTTTTTTTCGAACTCACCTGCCCTTCACTACCCTGGATTCCTGAGCCTTCGACAGTAAATAATAAATTGAATATAGTGGTTTTAGTACAGATTCTGTACTACTTCTGTACTAATCTGTACTATTCTGTTACTCTGTACGATTCTGTACTATTCTGTACTAATCTGTAAGATTTAGCCGATAAACCTAAACATTAAAAATAACTTTTTTCGGTGATCAATCTACTGAGATGGAAGAAAAAAAGATGCACTGAAGGTAATCTAGACATAGATAAAGAGAATTAATTAAGAGCCCAATGATTTTTTGGCCGAGAAAATGTTGACAAAACATCGAATATATTGCAAAGAGCTAGCGTCGCAAAACAACATACGAGGATTAAGTACAATGTGTATGGGAACAAACCCAAACGTACTTGCACGTTCGGTGCGTCCGGGATTGACGCACCGAGGGGGGCTGGCAGTTCCCCGAACCTACCTCGCGCACCTCCCTGTAAGTACGTTTGTTATAATATCCCCACATTACTAACTAACATGTGTGAAACACCAAATTGTAGTTTTATAAAGTAACCAGTAATTCACAACATAGACGTAGTTTTTATAATCCTGTTTTATCCAGTTACTGATCAATATTTTACACAAATGGACTATATTGCCACGCTCATAAACTCACTTCGCAAAACTCTTTTGCACTTCTATAACTGTATATATTACCATAACGTCACTACTTCATTGTCAATAATATATCGAAGTAACTTAGACCACTAAGACCTTCAAAATGTTCCCTTGCGAAGTTCCATATCGCAATCCAGGACAATACATGTATGAAGCAATTCTTACACCAGTTACATGTACATTTCAAATTCATAATACACACTAACATACTACCAACAACACAGCACAAGAGACCAACCTTGCCAACGAGAACTCGTGCTAAATTATTACAAAATACGACTGGTTTTGTCAACGATGGAAATCGCTAACGAATTTTCGTCTAGTTTCAGTCACTATAAAATATTCAAACTCAAGTCTTCGCAAAGAACACTAGTAAATCAATTTTAGTCAAACTCATATCTTCATATCCAGTACTTGCATCACAAATCATAGTTCAAAGTCTTTGCAACAAACACTTGGAAATAAATCATAATTAAAGTCTTCGCAACAAGCACTTCTATGTAAATCATCTAATAATAACGGAGTCCATTGCTCAGGATTTATGACAGGATTCAAACTAAGTGTTCATCCCAAAGTTGGGAACTCCTCATCGTTATCAAATTTCAGCTCATTATCAGCATCAACACCACTATCACCAAACCCTCCACGTCCAACACCACGTCTTTCACCAAAACCTCCACTTCTTCCTCCTGGCCTACCAAAGCCACCACCCCCTCCTCTACCACCCCCTCGTCTCTCTCCACGATCACCAAACCCACCACCTCCACGATCACCAAACCCACCTCCACGGTCACCACGATCACCAAACCCACTTCCACGATCACCACGATCACCAAACCCACCTCCACGGTCACCACGATCACCAAACCCACCTCCACGATCACCAAACCCACCTCCACGGTCACCACGATCACCAAACCCACCTCCACGGTCACCACGATCACCAAACCCACCTCCACGGTCACCACGATCACCAAACCCACCTCCACGGTCACCGCGATCACCAAACCCACCTCCACGGTCACCACGATCACCAAACCCACCTCCACGGTCACCACGATCACCAAACCCACCACCACGACGCTCGCCACCACGACCACCTCTGGGACCACCACGACCACGACGACCGCCTCTTGAATCTTGGAATTTATCACCGGGTGCAAATTTGATATCAATTTCCAAGGTCTGCTTCACTCGTCCGGACGTCTTTATTTTCTCTTCGTACTCCTGGAGATAAAAGACGAATATTAGAACCCCAAGATTGAAGTTAACGAAAACTGCGTTTAAACTCGGTGTGAACAATTTTAGTATAATTGACAAATTAACAATGTGTAATTTACACTGACTATTTCTCCTAAACTACAAACTCGTATGGAGTTTTCAGTTCAGCATTTGAGATCTGCTGCAAACCGTTTGCACCGACTGATATACAAAAAGGTACAGAAATACAACAGTAATCGTTCAATAGTACAGTAAACCAGAAGTGTCAAATTCAAACATCAAGTGGTTCCAATCTGCTTCTAAAATCTTTGCACCACATTTTGTGTCAAATAACCTTAGCAAAACTAAGACATTCTCCTTATATTTTTCAGGTAGTTGCATCCCTACCAACCATAGATATCTTATATACACTAGATAGTAGATAGCGCATCTCTTTTAGTAAAATTGAAGCCAAGAATATTCCAGCGGTTACCCTCATTTGAATAGATGGCGGCCATGTTGGTAGTCCCCACTCGCTAATAAACGCTTAAAAAACAACAATAACTTTCATCATTTGAATACTTTAAAAATGTATTTGGAATAGGTTTAACTCAATGTTTACGTTCCCTGTCTAAGGAATAGAAAACATACGAATCTTCTCATTTCATGGGAATATCCCGAGTCTGCAATCACGGCTTCAATTTTTGAATTGCAGAATAATTAGATGCACTATCTAGTGTATATAAGATATCTATGCTACCAATGAAAGCTTGTTCATATTATTGGCACTACCTACACTGGCACAAACAGTTCAAAAGTGTAAAACTGAAACCCGGTAGTAAAGCACATTAAGAAATAATGCAGGTTCAGATAGTGTGCTGTAGTACCAGCATCAAGCTCCACACATGACAATTTGATTTCAAAAACACATTTGGAATTTCAAATCAACAAGAAAATTGTATGGCATTTTAATATATATGACAAAAATTTCCTGCTCGATGTAATTTCCTGCGAAGATATTCTAATCAAAATTTCCTGGCGGTGGGTGCTGCCGGACATTTTCCAGCAATGGCATGGGTAGTGAATGTCAGAAATTAAACTTTACCCTTCGTTCAGTATACAGTGGATCAACATCTTCATTTCGTTTAAACACTTTAGTATTCTTCCATTGCGACTTATTCTCTCCTTCACCTGCCTTCCTCTCACTATGTTCCAGTTTATATTTCATTTGTTCTTTGCCAATTTCTTGTTGTTCTTTCCATTCTTGATAAGACATTTCTTGTACTTCTTCTTCTTTTGCTTCATCTTCTGATGTCCTTTCCTCCCTAAAGTAAGTTTTAAATAAAAATTTACTGTACACCAGATTTAATTTTATATTTTACTAAAGTACGCTGGGCCGGTTAACCAATAAACATAGACTTTCTTTCAAAACTGGCTTTTCGGTGTTCCCAAAATTGGAAAACCACAAAGAACCACGTCATGAATTTCTATTCACTCAGAATTTCCATTCATTCACAGACCTATACGGTTCCTTATGGGCGAGTGAAAATTAACCAAGCTTGATCTGAATATGGATGACCTGCAGCCAATCAGGAACTCGGAAAAACGGCCATATTCCCGATTAGCTGAACTTAAGAATTTCGACCATAAATATGAATGAAACATGGTTCATGATGTCACGATGACACTACTCAAGTCAGATATTAAACCTAGTTGCCATAAACAAATAGACCATCGTTCACAGTAATTGGTTTGCAATTCCCAACCGATCTATGGTTGCTATGAGTTACATTGCTCCCTAATTTATTATTTTACTACGTTTAATGCCAGATTATTTCACCTGTCAATGAGTTGATCAGGCTATCTGACCATGTGCCTAGTTAACCCATTGAGTTGCATTGCACATTATAGTGCACCCTACAGCACTTTATTATTTTATTCTGTATAATGCCAGACAATTTTACTGGTCAATGGGTTAAACAGTTGTCTTTAATCATGATCTTTTTAAAAATGGCAAGTTGTCTGCCAGGATAAAAATTTAGTTGTCCAAGAGAAATTTTGTTGGTTTAATATTACTTAAGCTGGAGATGCTTCTGTCACAATTTCATCAAAATATTCAGCAATGCAACTACAATCATATGCCTATTGCAGCTAAATTGTTAGACTTGGTTCAAGTCCGTCTCAGGAGAAAAGTAGGGAGAGACGGACTTCAAGGGACACTCGCAGCACTTCGAATGTTACTTGCAAAAATTGGCGCGAAAATTTATTGTTGTTCTCAACTGGCAAGCCACGCCTCCGTAGGAAAAATCCGACGGTAAAATTTGGCGCGCTTGCAGGGTATCCAAGTCCGTCTCTCCCTACTTTTCTCTCATATTTTCGCGCCTTTTTGACCGTTTGCGTGCATTGCTATTTTCAACCCCTTGAGAGACAGACTTGAACCAAGTCTACTAAAATGTAATCAACATAATTTCTTGAGGACCAATGAGACATTAATTGCCATTCCCAAAATGTTGATTCTCCATGACATTAGGAATATCATTGCATTCCTTAATATTTTGACAAAAAAACGTAACAGGTTTCTTCAGGTGAGAGGAAGCATCCCCATTTTTGGTAATAAAACATCCTTGAAGTCTCTGCAGCCCTGTTATAAATATGTTATAAATTTAGTGTAATACATACTCAGTTTCTTTGTTGTCATCTTTGGGTTCCTCAGTAGGTTCAACTGTAACAGGTTCAACACCCCAATCATTGACCTCTTCACCAGGAACATTGTCAGATTCACTACAAATGTCAAGTTTGTAAAAAATGAGTACAGATTATATATATATATATAAATTGAGCTCTAACTGGATAAATTTGAATTCTCATACTGTAACAGTGCAATGCATGGCTGTAGAAAGTAGGAAGTTATGGAGCGACGCTACCTCCAAAGTCTAAAAGGCTAACTCCAAACCAAAATATACACTTAAAGTTACAGGACACCCTTTTGCCAGTTTTGCGGAAAATCGCTACTGCGCGCTCAATATCAGTCCAATTTTCATCAAATTTTCACCAATATTCGCCAAATCGCGGTACCGTTACGCTTTTGAGTTGTGTTCCTGCTGGTTTTAAGTTATATTTATAAAAATATCATTTTTATACAGTAAAATAGTTGTTCTAAAAAATTGTGTTCGGAAATTTTTGTTTATTTTGTCATTCCGCTGATATGGCGATTTCTTTGACGACTGCAATATATTTCTGAATTGTTTGAGTGAATTGCTCTTTACTATTAAAATATCCCAAATTAGAAAAAGGCCAAAATCAATTTTGAAACCGACGTCTTTAGCTATGTCCTGTGAAAATTTGAGAAAAATTGGTTAAAACCCGCAGGAGAACAACTCGTTTGAAAATCAGTAATTACCGTAAAATTCTTCGGGAGAAAATTGGATTTGAATATTAGATTTTCAATGTTTTTCTCATTGCAACGAAATGTATTTTATTAAATAACTCTGCGAGTTTTCAACAATGGTCGTATAATCGTTGATGTTATTTATAAACTCGCAAGCCTGTGATCAACACTAGACCATACTGGTATACACAACTACGCTTTCTACTTGACAGGTTTAAGTAGCTGAGGAGATTGGAAATATTTACCTGACATGACTGTGTTGTCAAAACATTTTTAGTCGGAGACTCGCCATAATTTTCAAGCTTCTAGATAGCATTTAATATGGCTTTATATTTTAGTAAACACGAGTCATATTTAGCCCGTTATTCCATTATGACCGTATGCTAGTGAAACGTAGCCTATTTCATTGTTCCGACAGCATTAGAGCAAAACTAATGACTTATAATTATAAACGCAAAGGAAATTTCCATAACATTTTCTACTTATAAATCGGTATGCTTGGTAACCAGGCCAGGGACCACTTTTTTAAAATCAGGGACCATTTTACCGAAATCTGCTAGGCTCTCTCGCTGAAGCGTTCCGCACAGCACACCCAGGCATAAAACTTTTAAGACTTTTTTAAATATATCAAAGCAGCGATTAAAGAGAGAGAGCCTGGGACTAGGCTGATTTGGAGCTAGGTATAACTCCAAAAATCAGTTAGCTAGGTATAACTAAAAAGTCATTTAGAAGCTAGGAATTTAGCCTGGAGTTGCTAAATATTATTTGGAGCCAGGTATAACTCCAAAAAGCATGAAAAAGCTAGGTATCTAAGGCTTGAGTTATGGGCTAACTGCCTAACTCCAAAGAGTATGTGTAGCGAGGCGAGCCAGCCTAGCCGTTGGAGCTAGCTATCTAGCGGCACACTTGGCATTTTGTTCTCGTTCAGAGGCTAAATTTTGATCTGCAGCAGCACAACCCATTCTCGTACCCCTCAACCCTCTCTGTTCATACTCTGTTGACCGCTTGTAAGACTGGCTCTGTGAGAATGTGGCATAGCCTAGCTTCACTTGAAGATTGGCTATGCCACAAAAATAAAATCTACAGGTATGGTGCAATGGGAGAGCAAATTCGTGACAAATTAGCTTCTTATAGATCACATACATATCTTGCTCAAATATGTTGTAGCAATTTAATGTTGTTATGGTAATATGCCCTTCCGAAAAGCACTGATTACAAAATTATAAACAGGTCTTTTATATACACTCAGTCTGATATAACTCTATGGTTTCATTAAATGTGTCACCTATAGCAAGGGCTTTAAACCCAATATCTCAAACACAAAAATGAGGCTCTATAGCCAAAGACAAATCACTTTCTGGAAGGGTGTATTGGAATTTCTCAATGTTGTTAAACTTCGTTCTGAACTTCACAAAAAGTCCATGATGATATTCACAAGCTGGTTTGTAAACAAAGTCTAAAATATTATGGCCCTTGCAAGTATAACCCTTTTAGTGGCAATGCACCCACCTTATGAGTTACTTTACTCTATTTAATGTCAGACAATTTTACTTGTCAAGGGGAGGGTGCAGCCACCCAATGGGTTAATAAGTAATCTAATATTGATCAAAATATTGCCATCAATACTTTTATTTTTTGGCAGCATTACTGGTGGTAAATTGCCACTTGCTGCTTAATTAAAGGAATTTAACACCACATCACACAATGCAATGTTTGTAGTAAACTGCAAAACAACATGGGTTTTTTATAATTGTGTGCTGTTGAAAAATATATATGGCCCGCATTCTGCCAAAATGTGTGCCACTATATTGCAACATTGAGATCACAATTTCGGTAAAAGGGAGATCATAAGTATTTATAGAGCTCTAAAATGAACAAATCTGGGCGAATGAATAAACCAACTTAGCATAACACATTTACAGTTCATGTATTTTGTTGCATTGACCTGCGTTTGGATATCTATAACATTGTTACGTTTACATAAATTGACAGGTCTGAGTAACAAAACTACGGACAAAATTGGACAATAAAATTAGAAACCCATTTGACATGCCGGCCATGAAACTTGCATTTTTTCACACGCCAGCTGCAACAAACCTTGATCACAAGGTACACAAATGTGTCCCTTGTAATTGACAAAACTGTCATAGATCATAGAATGTTTTATATATTTTCAAAAGTTGAAAAACATGTCCACAGTATGTCAGGGTCACAAAGATGCCTGTGGAAGAACTTCTAGATCAAGGGAAGATGTGTGGTAATGTAAAGTCTACCACATTAAAGACTACACACAGTACCGTTCACAGTAAAGTTAACGGTCCTGTGCGGGCCAGGAAATTCTTCCAGGGGGGGCGAGAAATTTATCCCGCAGGACGGGAATCGTGCAAGGGATAATATGTAAAATTTGTTGACTGTCTGTTGTGCGGTCAAGATGCCATAACTAAAATGGGAAGGTTAATTAAACCACCACAGCAAATAACGTATATAGTAAAATTGAAGGAAGAAGGCAACACACCTGACCAATATATTAATAAATGCAAAATAGAAAACGCTCCATCGGCAATCTTATATTAACTATAATATCGCACCAAGTTGTTATGTTTGTTTTAGAAGCAATGCGCATGGATAGTTTACAATAAAAGTAGAAATACTTGGAAGAATACTTACATCTTGAAACTTCAAGATATGAGTCAAACAATATGCTATGTCTATATTTCTACTGTATATATTGGCAATAAACACTAAAACAGTGTCGATAATTCTGTAAAAATCATGAATCATTTTGATAGAATTAATTCAAACCTTGCACTCTTTAAACTTTTAGAGTTTCAGATTCAGTGCTTACTTGAGGGCAAAACTCTTTAAAATTATTTTATCTGTACAAAATAGCCACTGGAAGCTTGACTGGAAGCAGAAGTAAAGTTAGGATTGATGTGCAGGAAAGAGGGTGCTTACTCAGGTATGTAAATAGTGCAGGCATATCACAGGCACATGTGAACCAGTCTTAATAGTCAACCAGGCTCAGGCTATTAGATATGTTTTGACAGTTTTTACCAACCATTAAATTAACACTGCAACCGATATTTTACAAATGCAGGGTCACAGGAAGGAATGCAAAATTGGGGAGAATTGTATCTTATAAGATGGACAATTTCTCTGTTAGAAAAGAATATTTTCCCCACTGTTTGATCTGAAGAAAAATGGGCACTTAGAGGAAAACATGGACAGGAAGCAGGGTCTTAGCTAGCATTTTATATCTTGGGCGTGTTTCTAAATTTTCAGGGTGTGCCCATGTGTCAATTGCCTTGAATAGCCTTTAAAACACGATTCCAGTTATGCTTGTTAACAATAGACTATACCTGTGGTTGTTCTATGCTTTTCAACCAAATATGAGGCGAGCATACGCTCATATTTCGCACTGACATTATAATAAATTATTTTAGCAACCCTTGGGGCATTTAAAGACATTTTAACAACCATACGGTGCCCATTATCCATCAAAACATTAAAACATCACGGATCACTTTTAGCAATTTCAACAACTACAGTAGATTTTACAAAGAAATTATGTATGTTGTAAGTAGAAACACTTTAATTTATGACCCTACATGCACGGCCAAAAATAAATACTGAAGCCGCGTTCATTTCATCTAGCCGTGTTGTTACATTTTTGGCCGCGATAACACGGCCAACACGGCCTTCTAGCTAAGACCCTGACAGGAAGCATGTTCCAATATGCATTTAGCTGTTAAATTTGAATGCAGTCAATAAACTCTTTCCTTACAAGGTTGACTTCAAGTGCTATCATTGTTTACAGCAGTTGATGCATACATTCTTTTGTGAATTATTTGGTTGAACTGCTAACCATATGGAAATTTTTCTTTCTTTTTGACAGTGCAACAACCCAAGTGGTAAATCTTTTTGTAAAGGGAATATACTTCTGTAGCACATGGTAGATAGAAAGAAAGCAGGCAGATTTGAATAAAAGGCTGTTGAGGCCGACTCACAGATGAGATCAAATAAAAGTGACAGAAATAATTAGAGCAGTTTGCAGTTGTTTTTGCAAACGAGCACTGTGTGAATTTTGCCATTTGTCATGCGAATTTGCCAAAAGAACGAACACATGCTTCAGCCTGATTTCCAGTTCTGAAAGTCCAGATTCACAGGCAAACAGTTAACTGCCCCACACTCAAGTAACCACAAAGACTCACAGATGTTGCTTTGTACCATCTGTGAGTCAAAAAGGCTACACATAGCATACACTTAAATGCTTTAGTATTATAATGTTTTCTGTGTTATGCAGCTGAAATAATCAAACCTTAACAAAAATATGTAAATTTTCTAGGAATTTTTCATAAAAATTCTGCAGAAGGAAGACAATTATACTAACTTCATATCTGTGGCTTTTCCCCAATTATATTGTCCACCACCATCTCGCTTCTCCTCTGGCTTGATACTTCTAAAACAGCAACAATGCACTCAGACTGATCGACTTT